TCTCTTGACCTCGTGATCCACCCGCCTCGGCCTCCCAAAGTGCTGGGATTACAGGCGTGAGCCACTGCGCCCAGCGCTAATTTCTTTGTAATGCCAAATAAAATTTCATTGTGAGGATGTGCATGGTCTATTTATTCATTCACTTATTGAGGACATCTTGGTTGCTTCCAAGTTTTGGCAGTTACGAATAAAACTGCTATAAACACCTGTGGACATCAGTTTTCAGCTCATTTGGGTAAATACCAAGTAGTGTGATCACTGGTAGTGGTGTGTATTAATTGTAGTTTATGTATTCTGTCATCCTCATTTTTTTTTTTTTAAATAATTTCTTTTTTTTTTATTTGACAGGATTGCCTTTGAGGTTATTTTAAAAGTTTTGAGTTGTACAGCACTTGATTATTTTGCTGCATTGTGAAAGGACCTCTCCAGCAATGATTACTTCAGAATTACCAGTGTTACAGTAAGTATTGCAATTTTTTTAAGGAAAATTTTGGAATGTTTATTTCTCAAAATGCTCTCTTTGATGAGACATTTCAAATATGTTCTTTGATGTTGGGACAATATGTTTGCTATCTAAGTAGTAGGGTATATAATTACCATATCCATTTATGGCTTTTGCTATTGAAATGTCACCATGTTTTCTGATATTCAACAAAAAAGATGTTAATGTCCTATATCAGGAGTCAGCAAACTATGGCCCATGGGCCAAATCTGACATATTGTCTCTTTTTGCAAAATAAAATTTTGGATCAGAGCCCAAGTCATCCTTTACATACTATTTATGACTACTTTGTATTACAGGCGTGATAGTGATTGTATTACCCGGAAAGCCTAAAATATTTAGTCTGGCCATTTACAAAAAATAGGTTACTGTCCCCCATCTTATAATCTTCCTCTTCCCGCTCCCTGCTCACTTCCTGTTCCTTTATTATGATTCTTTCTTTTTTCTTAGATTGAGATTGTTGAGGAGTTCTGGCTACCAGAAGAAATCTAAGGGATATACCAGTTGACAGTTTTTCGTGGTATCCCATTAGATTTGTTGGAGTTACAGGACAGATTTAGAATTGGGACTTACTTAAGCTTTTTTTGAGACGGAATTTCCCGCTGTTGCCCAGGCTGGAGTGCAATAATGCGATCTCGGCTCACTGCAGTCTCTGCCTCCTGGGTTCAAGTGATTCTCCTGCATCACTGGAATTAAGGCACGCACCACCATGCCTGACTAAATTTTGTATTTTTAGTAAAGGTGGGGTTTCATTATGTTGGTAAGGCTAGTCTTTGCCTCCTTACCTCAGGTAATTTGCCTACCTCAGCCTCCCAAAGTGCTGGGATTATAGGCGTGAGCTACTGTGCCAGCCCGATTTAGAACTGGAACTTATTTTGGGAAATGTGGTCACAGAAATGGCAGATACTGTTCCATTCATAGCTGTTGTTGTGATGCAAATGGGGAATCTGGATTCTTTGATTCTGTGTGCTAGCAGTGGTTTAGATATAATGAAAGTGATGAGCACTTAAAGCCATTATGTATTATTACTACTCAATTCATATACATACATTATTTCCAAGAGACAACCTCTGGTTGATCTTTTGGCCCTTTATTTCCCTTCCAGCCTTCTAAGACACAAAGCTATCCAGATTTCTTTACCCGTTTGCAAAACCATTAATACCGTCCTTCTGTCTTTTCCCTGACAAATGGGAGATAAAATTTATTTCTGCCTACTTATATCATTCCCTTTTACCCCTGTACCTGAAAATAATATCATATATATAAATATATGAACATATATGAATACCATATAACTACCATATTTATATAATATTTAAGTTTGGAGGTCCTCTTACAGTATTTTCTTTCTTTTCTTTGTACTTACGCACTTCTGCCCTTACTTGGACAACTCGCTGTCTATTTAAGTCTTAGGCATAAGACTCCAGCAAGCTTTCTCTGGTTTCCTTGAAGTTGGGGTTATGAAATGTAGCATTTCATAACTATCCCTTCTTTTTTTCTGACCCATCTCCTAAACTGTATTGTGTGCATTACCTTTATATGTCCTACTGCTAGGACACTGTTGAGTATTAGGCAGGCCTTTAATAGCCCTTTGATAAAATATGAAACAGAGGTTATTTTTTTTTTTTTTTTTT